GTGGATCCGACGAAAATGTGCAGCGATGGGTGCAGCGAGTCGATCAAGTCGCTTTCGCCCACAGAGTAGCCGACGATGTAACATTGCTCGCGGCTTCGAGCAAATTAACGAAAATGGCGAAGAAGTGGTACGATACGCAGTCAGGCCCGGTATTAACTTCATGGATGGGCTGTCGTCAAGCATTGCTTAAGATGTTCGAGCAAAACTTCCTTTCTACGTGGTCATGCAGAAGATCGAGGCCAGAAAATGGATGCCGTCTAAGGAAACGTTCCAGGAATACGCCATAGACAAGTTGGCGTTGATGCATAACCAGGGTTTACCCATTCAAGATACAGTGGATTTACTGATCGGAGGTATTTCCGAGAGGTCATTAAAAGCTACAGCGGCAGCGATCCCTGCCACGTCAGTCGAGCAATTTGTCGATCGAATGTGCCAGATAACATCCGCCGTTGGTACATTCGAAAGGAAATCGTCTGACGCACACAAATCGAGCGACAACAAGGCTATTAATTGCAAGAAATGTGGAAAGAAGGACCACAGCCAAAAAGACTGTAAAGACACCGAGATCACATGTTTTTTCTGTAAAGGCAAAGGGCACCGGAAAGTGGATTGCCCTAAATGGAAGAAGAAGAATCCTTTGACACCCGGTGAATCGCCTGCAGCGGTAGCAGCGGTCAAGGACAAGGATGATGTCCCAGCGTCTACTGTGGTTGCATCTGAATCAGCGGCAGAGGTTTCGGAAGTGCCGATCTCAATAGTCGCAGCAGTGCAGCAGGATGCGGCGGTGATTCCAATTAAAGACCCTATCGTTAAGATTGTGCAGTTAAACGGTAAGCGTTGTGATTTGTCAGCGTTAATGGACACTGGAAGTCCGGTTTCGTTTGTAAAAGATGCGATTTGTAAAAAGTTCGGTTTACATGATTCGAGTAAAGTGATAGAGTCGAAACGTAAGTTTACTACGTTAAATGATTATCCGATTCCGGTTAAGGGCATTGTCAGAGCTTTAATCTCTTTGGATTCCTATCCCGATAAAAAATACGAGATCAATCTATACATTTTAGAGAAAGATAATTTTACATATGATCTGGTCATTGGTCGTGATTTTATGGAAAATAAAGTTACGTTGTCATTGCCATGCATGCAAATCAGAAAGTCAGTGACATTAAGTTTTTCCCGGAAGATTTTATGACTACAGATATTTGTATGGCTATTGAAACGGAAAGAGATTATCAAATTGATTTTGGTGAAGACGTGAAAGAAAAACTGAAACAAATAATTCGGGAAGTTGAAGAAGCTGACATCCCCGTCGTTGATAACGGTTACGCGGTTAGGGTGCCGTCCCATGGCGCGTATCGCGGTACGCGCGTACCGGGCGTATCAAATTCTGCGACCAATCACAGACGATCCGCCGGTTTTGGTACGCCGACATTTTGCTCCTAATGTCCCATGGAGCGGATTAAGCGTAAGCGGACCAGCGGATCGCCAATCACAGAATCTTTCCGATAGAGCCCTTTCAAAGATTCCGTTGAAACGGATCCGTGATTGACGATCCGCTGGTTACGCTTCCGCTTTATCCGCTCCATGGGACAGTAGGACTGTTTGGCGACGCGTACTGAACACACGCACACAAACACGCTTGTGACGCATGCACCTAAAAGGGCAAACGTCATAACCTCCAAAGTGAAACCAGTTGTACGGCAAAAAATCTATGTTGAGATCGAGATCGCCAAGGTATTCGCCACCGCTTAATCTAGATCCAAATCACCTAGATTACCCCGAGAACAGTGTCACCACGTCGATTTACATTTCAGATCCAGATCGCCCTCGTTTTCTCCTCGAAGAGGATCATTTCGCTTGCATTCGCCGAAGAATTTTTGTGACTTTTGCGTGACATCGGTGTACGGCAGTGTC